TTTGAACTTTTCCATCCCGAGCTATTGTTGCTTTGCTGGGTTAGTATATCTGTGTATATTGAATGTGCATAACAGGTGGGAAAACAGAAAAACCTTTATGTCTGGCATGTTCTCAAAAACCGAAAGCGGATTGTCAAAACCGATTGTTATGGGTATAAAAACAATTGACCGAATTCCATTCGATTCTGTTACCAATTCATCTTCCCAAATCCGACAAAACTAACCTAACTAACATCCATAATTCCTTAAGAATACCTATATTCATTACTTAGACCATTACTACTAACATGTTTAAGTAAACATGAGTACTTTAATCACATGTTCATTAAGAATACCTCTAATGGGCGGGATCTATATGTTGATATATGTTAGGTGATACAGAGGACATATTGAATAAGGTTACATCATGATTACTAATATAATGTAACCTTGCATTTTCATAAAACATTTAGTTACCCCCATGAATTTTGATTACTCTAACTATCCCCCCATGTTAATATGTGTGTGTGTGTGTAAAATTAAATTTCATATATACTCACAAATTCAATGAAAGTTGTCTACAATATCTACCTTTTAAAGTAAAACACGTGATCATCATAATTTTAAGTCATAATTTCTTACACTATTTTTCTTCTTAAAAACTCGTGGAGCAAATATTATTGAGTTTAGCTCAGGCAGAGAAATCATGAGAAATACTCATGATACATTCAGAAAAGGTGAAGTTATTTAAAACATGTGTTCTAAAAATTCTAGGAACTTCTCTGTCATAAATATAAGGCCGGTCTTATTTGCCATTCTTTCGACACAACTAATCGCAATGACTTTTCTTCCGTGAGACTCGATCAATCTCAATGACATTCCTTCCCCGAGTAGTAAAGAAGAAATAATGACTAACTAATATGGTGTATACTCATGATGACCGATTATCTTGACTTTTATAACCATGTATTTTAAATTTCACAATTATATAAAGTTACAATGCTACATGAATGAAGGATTAAATAGTGAGAATAATCTAAACTTGAGTGATAAATAATAATTATTGTTTAAATGTGAGGTTGAATTATTGATTTTGACGTAACCTCAAAGGGCAATAACAATATTCCCATTGAATAAATATGACTATTAATTTACCATCAATAAAGAAAAATATGGAAGAGGGTGATAAAGATAAATTTGGGTTTTGCACCCAAAAAATAGTTGGATGAAAATGGTTCTAAATTTAGAAAATTGGAAAACATGGGGGGATTAAATCTCATGTCGTCTAAGGGATTCTACATAATATATAATGCACTTAAGAGCATGCATTTGGGATGATCTAATGTGTATCCATAATTTCCTACCTATTTTTTTTGCAATTCTGCCTTTGAAATAGAGATGCAATTTTGTATGCTTAAGACGCAATTCTGGTTTTGCTACAGGTCTCTTCAATTTTTAATCCACAATAATTTACTCCATATATTGATTTCCTTTTTAATCGCTTGCTTGAATGCCTACTTCTAAAGAAAGAAGTAATTTAGGTAAAATCTACAACTCTAAATAAATAGTCTTGTCCCAATTTTTTATGCGTGTCATGAATCTCAACATAATTGTTATAAGAATGTAATGCTAGTTTTGTGTTTGTTTGATGCATTATTTGTGTATATTTCAATGTATCATCTATTGAAAGGAAAGACAACCAAATAGAACTATGTCCTCTACTGTTGGATCATCCACTGAATAGATGTTAAATTGCAATGTATACAAAAAATGACTAACAAATTTAGACCAAAATTTATTGCTAAGAAAATAGACTAAATTAGTATTTTTTTTTAATTCAAAGCGGAAGTATTTTAGGAGAAATAAATTTGAATTGGACAACGTGAGAAGTAAAAAAGTATACTATATAAATTCGAATAGGATTATGGAAGGTATTTCAATTTTCAAGTAGTAACTATTGGAAGTTTATCATGACAGCTCCATAAATTCTAAAGTAAAATGCAAGTCAATGCCGTATATAATACTCATATATCCTTTTAATAGGCAAGTGAAATGTCTTTTTGAATTTTGTGACATTATAGATATTGAACCAACATAACTCATTTCATCTTTCTTTTTCCAAATTCAAATTTTTGAACCTTAACAAGATCTTATTAACAGGCTTTGGATTGATTTAAATTTAGTTGGGAATCTTCATAAGGAGAAGTCTTGAGGGGTAGAGATGATGGGCGTACAAGATAATTTGAAAATTGAGATGGAAATATCTAATTATAAATTGGGGAGGAACAACAAATACAAGAGGATTGATGAATATGATTGTGTAGATGATGATCCATCTCACCATCAACATCTTCAGCATGAGAAGAGGAGGAAGAACACTAAGAAATATGTTTTTGCATGTGCTATCTTTGCTTCTCTCAAGAATGTTCTTCTTGGCTATGGTATTTTCTTCTTTTCTTAACTTGTCTTTTAGAGTTCATGCGTTCACTTCTTTAAAATTGTTCACAAATTCATTAAATATAAAAACACGAACCAAACATATAAAATGCATTGTGATTCATCTTATCATGTCAATCTAATTATATAATTGGAGTTTTTTGTAGACTTTATTGATCTTCTATGTGGATTGTTTGTTTGATTCTTTATTAGAAATCGTGGGTGTTTAAGTCTCTAATAGATGATTTATAAAGAAAAACATCTTGACCAATATTTTAGGCCTTCTTATTCTAATATTACTAAAAATAAGATAAAAGATAAAAAAAAAATGATCTATTTTTTAAAATTACAAAAATGTGACCAACATCACAATTAACCCTGTAGTGCAAAGTGACTCCAGTCCGACCAAAGTGACCCAACCGACCTCAGTGACTGCCCGCCGACCACAGTGACTGCTCCGTCGGTCATAGTGACTGCTCCGCCGCCACAGTGACAGCACCGCCGCCACGGTGACTCCGCCGCCACAGTGACTCCGTCCAAAGTTACTTCATCCAAAGTGACTTCGGCCACAGTGACACACAATTTCGGCCACAGTGAAACCCAATCCCGGTCACTGTCTCGTGCCAATTCCGGCCAAGGCCACATTAACACCCCCACCACCCCTCCCACACCATCTATGCAAACACCGCCTACTACCATGCCCCTCCCTAACCCCATGCCCCAGCACCCCAAACCCCTGCCCCTCCCCTCCCTCCAGCACCTCATCCCCTGCCCCCTGTCCTGCCCTAGCTCTAACCTGCAACCAGCTCCTCCGTATCAACTGCCAAACACCACACCTTGTCCCAGATCTGTAAAGCGCTGCATCCATCTAGTACCTCCGCTGCTTGTCACATCCCTAGCCGCCATCTCCTATATCATGAACCCTTGCCGTCGAACAGATCTAGCCACCGCCGTCGAACAGATCTAGCCGCTGCTGGACGTGAGGTAGATCGAGCAATTGAATAACGGTGAAGGTAGACCTGGTGTGTGGTTGAACCGGAGGCAGCGACGTTGTAGATTTGATGGTAGGAAGGTCGGCAAGCTACGGTGAAAACCAGAGATGCGAAGGAGCGATGAAGACCAAAGATGTAAAGGAGAAAAGCGCTTCACGCTGGTCTAGTGCGAGCAAATGAAGGGAGCGGTCTCTTTTTTGGAAAAAAGCAAAATTGTCATATTTTTTGAAACTCAAAAGCCGTAAGTCATAATCGGGCAATTCTTTCAACTTTTTATCTTGAAATCTATCTTGCAGTTTTAAAATCTTGTATCTACTCACGAAATTTAATTGATAATAAAGTTACTTCACATATGTTTTTTAAGTTATTACTCCCTCTGTCCCTAAATTTACTTCCATTTCGCTTTTCGAGAGTCAACTTAAATCACTCTTAAACTCTTACTTTTTGTATCAAAACTTTATGAAAATTGATTTTTTTTGTGCAGGCTTTGTAGCGGGTTTAATGTAGTTTCTGAATATGTAAATTTTATTTACTAAAAATAATCCGAGTTTTCACAGGGATCATTTAACTTTATCGTCGGTCAACCTTCGTAATCCGCAATCGGAAGAACATTCAGGGACGGAGGGAGTATTATTTAAATTTTCATATATAGAAACTAAATAAAAAATGATATTGAATCATAAAAATTGAACCAAATATAACAAATTATTAGGTAAATGAGACCTTCAAATCGGCACAGAAGAAAGATTTGTAATTATATGTTTATATGTCTTGAAGTCACTATTAGTGAAACATCTAATATTGAGCATTACCTCAGTCCCGATTAAAAGTTCTCATTGCAAAATGAAATAATTATTTGGACAATAATAAAATAATGTAATGCGAATATATTTTGAGAAATAGTTTTTATGAATATTAATACTCCCTCCGTCCCGCAATTAACTTCACACTTTGACTTCACACAGATTAAGAAAATAAATTTGACTTTACTGTGGAGTGCACTGTGTTGCACTGTTTAAACATTGTTTGACACTATTTGGACACTATTTGACACTGTTTGGCACTGTTTTGATGTAGATAGTTTGTCAAATAAGGAAAGTATTGAAGTGTGAAGTTAATTTCGGGACTGCCCAAAAAGGAAAGTAAAAAGTTGTTTATAGGACGGAAGGAGAATAATGGAGTCATTATTGATAACTCTGATGTTATAAATATATTATTTTTAATATTTAATACTTCTTCCGTATTTAAAAGTTTCATACACTTTCCTTTTTGGAATGTATTTAAAAGTTCTTCGCACTTTCTCTTTTTGCTAAGTTTTTTCCTTTAAAAATACTCAATTACTCTTACATTTTATTCTCTTTTTTTTTTTACTTTTTCACCTTCTCTCTTACATTTTCTATACTATTCTCACTTAAATCTTGTGTTATAATCAAACGTAGTCATCTTTTAAATATGAGAGAGTAACTAAATTGTCATTTAAAAGTGATAATTATTCAGGTGAAAACCTTAGATTTGAAGAGGGAGTAGTTATCACTTATCAGTAAAAAAATCAAATTTATTCAAGAAGATTGATGGATCAGGTTATCGGATTAATAGGGATTCTTTTTGGAACATTCGTTTTGATTGGCAGATGTTGGGGTTATGAGTGGAGCAATCATATTTATTCAACAAGATTTAAAGATCAGCGAAGTGCGGGTAGAAGTTCTAGTAGGCATTTTGAGCATCGTCTCACTTCTGGGTAGCTTAATCGGAGGAAGAACTTCAGACGCGATCGGCAGAAAATGGACAATGGGTTTAGCCTCCATCATCTTCCAAACCGGGGCAGCAATCATGGTCGTCGCTCCTTCCTACGTAGTACTGATGATGGGCAGATTTCTAGCCGAGATCGGAATCGGCTTCGGCGTCATGATCGCCCCCGTCTACATAGCCGAGATCTCGCCAACCGCTGATCGAGGATCGCTGACGTCATTCCCGGAGATTTTTATAAATCTGGGAATCCTTCTCGGATATGTCTCGAATTACGCGTTTTCCGGGTTACCGCCACATATAAACTGGCGAGTAATGCTTGTTGTGGGAATACTCCCTTCCGTGTTCATAGCGTTTGCTCTGTGTGTGATTCCAGAGTCGCCGAGATGGCTGGTTGTGTAGAAGAGGGTGGAAGAAGCAAAGGCGGTGCTGATGAAAACGAACGACAGTGATGCGGAAGCGGAAGAGAGGCTTGCGGAGATACAGTTAGGTGCTTGGGTGGAGATCACGAATGCTGATAAGTATGAGGAGAAATCTGTGTGGCGGGAGCTTTAGAGTCCTCCTCCTCCTCTTGCGAGGATGCTGATCACTGGTTTTGGAATCCAGTGCTTCCAGCAGATAACAGGTATTTTTTGTTTTAAATTTTGTGATATGCCCAACAATATCGTAAAAGTTGAGTGTTCTTAATACTAAAAGACTCGAACTGTAAGAAGTTTGCCAGATTTTTTATTAACACTCCTTCTATACAATGATAATTTTCTATAAGAAAAAGATTGATATATCTATGAAGGGCAAAAGAGTAATGTGAGAAAGTACAGTGTTAGAGAACTAGAGAAGTTCACTTGAAGAAGCTATTCATAACTTTGCAATAAATGAAAGTGAAGTCTTAGAATTTAATATGGGATAGACAAAATGTATATTGGTGTGATTATCACCTTTTGGTGGTTCTTTGGAGTGAGTTAGGGTTTATTAAGAATGAGTTCCATTAAAATAGATGAACTTGATAAGAAACAACATAAGGTCTTAAATGTGAGTTTGTGTCCTTTAATTTTGTTGTTATTTGGCTGGTGTGGTTATAATGACTAAATATGCGGCTGATGTCAGTGGGATGTCTTAACTCATAACGTGCGCCCAAGATGATGGCTCGTTAAAACAAACTAATTTTGAAATATATGTGCTTTTTAGTCTCAGTCGGATCAAGTTGCTTGCTCGAGTGCATGACTTTCATATCATATTAAGACTTGACTTACTTTCGATTCTTAAAAGGAATAATTTGATAGAGTAGTTCAATGCTATATATGTGAATCTGTATGTTGATATTTGGTCAAAATGAGATGATTTAATAGACCTAAGTTAACATGGCCTTAGAGTTTACCAAGATTGAGGTTTGTTTGTTTGTTTTTGTTTATTGCACTGAGTGTGGAGTTCAATTGGTCCATGAGGATCATTTCAGGGTGTGTTGATTGTGTTCAATCTAATTTCTCACCTAAAGGATGATCAGATTTGGAAATACATATCTCTTGTATAGTGGTGATATGGGGGTGTATTGTGGTGTGTGAAAAACTTTGCCTTCTAGTGCTAATTGGGCTGGACTTCACACAGTATGACTTTTATACTATTTGTAAACTTAATAAATTTATAGATAAGCTTAACAACATAAAGGAGTTTCAAGCATGTCATCTTCTATGCAAGGTGATTTTGACAAATTTTTTATGTGTGATTTTTTAACAGGTATTGATGCAATGGTTTACTACAGTCCAGAGATCTTAAAAGCGGCTGGTATTACTGGCGAGTCAAAACTGCTTGCACGCCTTGCAGCAACGGTTGCAGTGGGGATCACAAAGACGGCATTCATATTAATAGCTATATTCCTCATAGACAGAGTAGGAAGAAAGCCACTTTTGTATGTTAGCACAATAGGGATGACGATTTGCTTGTTTGGATTGGGGTTCGCCCTTACCTTTCTAAGTAGTCAAGGATCGCTTGGCATTCCAGCATCCATATTATTTGTTTGCGGGAACGTAGCTTTTTTCTCGATCGGTTTAGGCCCGGTTTGCTGGGTGTTGACGTCAGAGATATTTCCGCTGAAGTATCGAGCTCAAGCATCCGCATTGGGAGGGGTAGGTAATCGGGTGTGCAGTGGGGTGGTTGCTATGTCATTCCTTTCTGTGTCGCGGGTAATCACGGTCGGTGGGACATTCTTTGTTTTCTCGGCAATATCTGCATCCGTTGTTGCTTTCACATATATACTCCCTCCGTTCCCAAAAATACTTCCCACTTTCTTTTTTGGGCCGTTCCCAAAAATTCTTCTCACTTTCCCTTTTTGGACAATTTGTGTGGCTCACATTCATTTTACCTTTTTCTCATACAACCACAACCACACATTTCCACTTTATTCCACTTTCTTAATAGGCGTGCCAAGTCAAACCGGGAAGAATTTTTAGGAACGGAGGGATTACTTGTTCCAGAAACAAAAGGCAAATCTCTGGAGGAGATTCAGTTGATGTTTCAAAACGAACGAGAAGGTGAAACACAACTTGGGGATGTTGAGCATCTTGTGCAGAAAGAGTGAGTTTTGGTCATTTGGGGTTCTCATTCAATTACTTTTTTTGAAAGTTTACAGCCATCTTTTTTTTATATCTGATATACGAAGTATGTAGCAGAGAAATTTAACGATGTAATACTTGACATAGAAAAGGTTGATGGCTTGATGTGCTCACGATACTACGTAGTATTGAATATACTCTTTTTGACACGGACAATTATTCTTTTCTTGATTAGTAAAAGTAATGCGGAATAACATTTTTTTTAATACATTGCTTTAGCAACTAATTCAACTGCCAACTTTATTAATTCTTCATGGAAGACTTTTATGTGTATGGCTTTTATGCTTTACCTAAATTTTCAACCAGGCCTGTGAACCATGTCCAACAATCATACCAGATATTGAAATCTGGTGGGGGTAAAAACTGCTTTTATCAAGGAGTGTTATCATCATTATTGTATATCTATCACTTAGTTTATATACGGAGTAAAAAACTACTCTGTGCGCATCAGAATGGTGGAGGAGTAAGTCACGGTGACTCAATCGGAGCCTCCACACCCCGACCCGACAGAATGGTGGATGAGTAAGTCACGGTGACTCAGTCGGCCCAATGAGAGTAGACATTATACTCATGCGCATCAGAGGTCCAATCAACACACAGGAGTTGTAACCTCCACATGGCCTCTGCGGGTTTCGATCGTTGGTCATTTTTTTTTTAATATTTTTTTATACCCCAGGGGGCGTCGAGGGAGGGGGGTTTGGGAGGCCTGGAGCAAACTGGGATCAATCTCACTCCATTGAGAATTCAACTCGGGACCTCCCATAGGGGAGAGTGAGTCGGCGACCAGCTGGGCTGGACCGCTTCCTCGTTCGATCCTTGGTCATTGTTCCAAATTTTCCACCACTAGACCAACTGAGTTACTCGTGCGGGTAGTCATGGACTCGGGTCGGTTCGGGCACGGGACTGGCCTAGTCCCGGCCGGATTTTTTTGGGGGGGAAGGAAGAAGCGGCCCGGGTAGGCATCGGTTCCGGGTCAGGCCGTGCCGATTCAAGTTATTTTTTTAATTTACTTTTGCTTTTCTAATTAACCCCGACCCCCCCCCCCTTCACCCCCACCCCCCCCTTCACCCCCACCCCCCCAACCCCCACCCCCAACCCCCACCCCAAACACTGAGACCAACCCGGGAGACACCAAAAAATTGAAAAAGCAAAAAAAGAGAAATAGGCCGGGCCGGTTCCACTTTTAGGAGGCCCGAACCCGCCCCGTTTAACTCCCGGTTCCGGGTGGCCCGGACCGGTCCTATGACCGGGTACCGGGCCGGGCCCAAGCAGTACCGGTTCCGGGCCGGGCGGCCCGACCCGAGTCCATGACGACGTGCGGGTACTAGTTTTCCTATTCATTTTTTGACCAATGACCCTCTTTTTGGAAAAAAAAATAACCTCATGTACCAATCATGGTTAATTTTACAAAATGTTCCCCAGTTCTTAAAGAACTGTCTCCCGAGTCCCGAGTCCCGAGTTAAAATAAAAGTGTAGCTTTTATTCGTATTATAAATCAAGGCATTCCGCTTCCAGTTCCATTTCAACTGCAAACCAAAACTTAGAACCTAATCGGAACTAATTAGATCTTATTGGTTTATGAGTTTAATAAAATCAAGAGTTCCAAACCAGGTTTCTACATGAATTTTAAGTCTAATAAATAAATAAATAAATAAATAAATAAATAAATAAACAAATAAATAAATAAATAAATAAATAAATAAATAAATAAATAAATAAATAAATAAATAAATAAATAAATAAATAAATAAATAAATAAATAAATAAATAAATAAATAAATAAATAAATAAAACTAGAAGCACTAATTGTTCTCTGGAGGAATCAGAGCTCGACTGAGTCTCAAAAGTTCTTGATTACCGGTGTACACTGTACAAGGCCATAGCAAATTAGCAGCGGCATGTTAGGTCTAAGTCCACCCCAAATTTCATTTTTTATATGATTAGGGTAACCCAAATTCATTAAAAAATTTCAAAAAAAAAGTACCAGCACAGCCCAAACTACACCGACGCGGTGCATGTTCCTGTTCAAGAATGTCAACGTGCTTGATTTTTTGTAAAACTGAAATGGCCGCAGTCCTATTCTTGTTCAGAAGTGTACAAGCAAGCTTTTATCAAATTTTAAGTATTACATGGACAATACATGAGAATGTCTTCTGAATCAAAAGTTATTCCAGATATAAGGGCAGAGTGATGAATTCTAGCCTAGGTACAAGTCTGAACAATATCTATCGACTTTAAGGTGTTCTTTGACTTTTCTTTGAGTTTTCAACCAAGTACCATGAACTCCCTGCCAAGCAAATGTCTTTTCTATTTCACTACGCATTGGCACGACTTGGTTCTCGGCCGGTTCCGGCATTCCGGTCCCAAAAATTTCAACCCGGAACCGGCAGTCCTGGTCCCAAAAATTGCAGCCCGGCACCGGTCCCCTTATACCCGCCTCCGGTTTCGGCCCAGAACCGAAAAATCAGTGCCTGGACCGGGACCTTATCCACTCCTATGCCTCACTAAAGGCATGTGCAGAGAGTAGTTGAGTAACACCATCCATAATATTGCCAACAAAGATTAAACCAAATGTTTACACAACACAGATTGCTAACATTTGCAATCAAGATTGTCATAATGTTTACACATAAAATATATTTAGCAGATGTAGATGTACATTAACCGATTTAGACGAATCCTACCCAACACGTTGATAGCTAGATAACCATTATCTCAAACACTTTCACTTTCACTCACTTAATTGCCCCTTCCTTAGTTCCTGTGGTCAAGACAACATTTTCCACTCATCTGCTTGCCTGCAAAATATGTTAAGTTTAGTTTAAATGAAGGCAAAGAGAGAATTGAACCAGCGGGTCAAGCTCAAGGACATGAAACAGCGGGCAAACTAGCAATTTAATCAAAACAATAATTATTTATTTAGCAACATGATTTACCTTTCCATTCATCCGGATATTCCAAGGATCACTAGTGGATCCATAGACAGGGTCACCAACAACACATGAAGGTTGAGGGACATAGTTTTTCAAAAGTGGAACACCATCTGGTATATAATCATCATCGCTGTCATAGAATCTCTCACGATTCGGTCCCAAAGCTTTGAGAATCATCGACAGTAACATGCTCAGTCCCTTTATGTGAAAAAATAGGAAACCAAACAGACAGTTGGCAATATAAGATGCAATATAAGATGCTAAAGATATTTATTGTAAAAAAACAGAAACCAAGTTGAAATGAGAGAGACGCCTGCTTGTATCATTCTCAAAGGAAAAGCTCTACAAAATATAGAGTATCATTGTTAACTTTATAGTATATATGTTTATTTATTGGGGGTAGGTGGTGACCTGCACTGCAGCCACTGACAAGCCAATCCATTTGCACATGTCAAAGTTTTCTTTAACAAACTTTTTTATCTCATCAAAGTTGCCGGTTGAATCCTCAGGAAAGTCCTGTTCCCACATCAAAGTAGAATACATGATATGTAAAATAATTATGAAGCTATTCATTGCAATACTGGATGAATTAAACTATTAAGTAATACGGAGTATATATTTTGTTGAAGAATACCTCTTCCCAGTTTTTGTTTAAGAAAACATCTACAGTGACAGCAGCTTCGAACGCAAAAAGTAGAAAGACAAACACCATGTACTACAAATATTAGTTAAGAATGACAAATGTCAAATTTGGCATTGAAGTCTCAAGGACAACAAAATTAAAAAAACATCACATGGGTCTTTCCAAAGTGAAAGAGAACATGATTAGGAGGATACGATATACAGACAGCAGCCATTCACAGTTTCTGCAGCAATATGACCTGAGCAGGAGATGAAACACACAGTGATGCCAAGACCAAGAATAGTATATATGAACCTGGCATTGAAGGTAAAAACAAGGTCTTTGTTAACTACTTCATTGGAATCAAACTTAGAAGTACAAATGCAAGTGATGCTTGTAATTGAGAATATTAAGATCATAGGAACTGCAAACACAAAACACGACAAGCATGGTATTTACTTTAAAATGCATACATATATTAGTAAGATCTGAGGAAGTATCATGGTAATTATAACATTCCAACATCAACATGCAAGAAATTGGTCACTTAACTACTTTACAAATGACTCATAAACGAAGATCACGCAAAAAGGCTGGCATGTCATTGAAACACACACCATCTGTGATCTGTGATCATATAATGTCAATTATAAATGTTTCATAGTAGTATTTAATGATCAATATGAGAAAACATCACAGGTGCGGGCAAAAGAGTCTCTGTTAGATGTCTATTGCAAAAAGGTAAATATCCCTCATTTCTTCATTCACCTTATGGTTTCAGTTTTCAGAACAACAACAACAACATCCAAGCCTTATTCACAAAATATTTTGGAGTCCGCTAACATGAATAGATCCATGATAACTGACTAACTGTGAAACACATACACACCAAGCATGAAATGAGACACTACAAAATCCAGGCAATATGGGCAAAGACATCTCATTTAACGAAAAAATTGCATTGCCCCAACAAAGAGTGGGAAACACATCATGAAAAAAGAAAAAAGAAAATATTTTTTGAGAATCTGAATTATGACTTGCAAAGAATAAACCCCAACTTCCCCAAAACAATTATAGAAAGAAATGATACATAGAGGTACGGACAGATACGCACCAAGGGATAGGGGAGCTATTGGGCCCGAAATACGGGAGAGGAGAAGGGCCGGACATGTGCTTTTGCCAAACTCTGAACATCCAAATGGCGTACATGATCATGGCGATCCCAACAACCCCTAACAGAAAGTTGACGAGCTTCAGCATCGACTGGATGCAGCTCCGAGCGAATTTCATGGTCATTGCTGCACTTTGTGGCCGGATGAATGATGAAAGCCGATCCCCTAACCCTATATCAAACCTTAATCAATTAAACGTCAGGAATATAGGATTAGGGTTTCAAGATATGGAAATATTCTCCGACGTTTCTGTGGGAGTGTTTAACTTCTATGGATTTTCTTTTTGTCGTTCGTCTCCTGGATTGTAGGCCAAGAGCTATAGTGCCAGCAAGTCTGACAGGATACTCCGTCCGGCCGAGCCCGTTTGGGAATCGGGAAGGTGGAATTTTTTTGATGAAATTTTTTGAGCATGTTCCTCATCAAGTCTAGTTTGTTCATACCAAATTTCAGCTCAAAAT